AACGATTGACCGGCAATGAGACACTTTTATATCCGTTTGTGCGAGAGAATGTACAAAGTACGATATGCCCGTGTCTTGCATATTGCGATAGTACAATCTTTACATAAATAAATATCTGGCTTCTCTTCCGCAAAACGTGGAAAAGTAACGTAACTCGGGATATTTAGCATTTTTGAATTTTTTTTTTTTTTTCCCTTTTTGCAAACCGAAAAGAATCTGGATTATACGATCATCATTTTAACTTTTCAAGTTTTTCCAGAAATTTTAGAGACAAGTTTAATGATAATGATAATAATAATTTATGATAGTAGATGATATCGAAATTAATTTGTTGCTGAGATTGCCTAATATTATTAATCTAATATATATTCCAATTTGCATAATATTTGTTATTAACATCGATATATTAATATCAAATATAATAAATCAATATAATTGTATTAATATACTTGCATATACTAAATAACCATAATAGTAATAGAAGTTTAATGAAGAAAAAAAAATGTTAATTCTGGCTTTGTTTAACCTTGCTAATTTCCGTGTAATATTCTCTTGTTGATCTTTCTTCTCATCGAATGTACTTAACTCTTTTAAATGTTAGAATAACATCATTCGATCAAGTCGTGACAGATACCAGTTCATAATAAACATTCGCGTCAAGAGGTAAAATTCTTCCAATCGCAGGATCAAAGGTTATCGGAATTTTTTGCGTTTTTCTTTTTCACACAAAAAATACAGGTTCACCTGATAATGACCGATAATGTTAAAAACAGTAAACAGTCGGCGTCCTTCTTAAGTGGAATTTTTTTCAAAGACATTTTTATAAATGACGTATATAACAAAAATGCATGGTGAGAGACAATCGATGTGTAAAAATGTCATTCAAGATGTCATCATATCGCCCTGAAGTATAAAATATATCGAACAAATGGCGGCTATTTTATTTGTATATTTTAATGATAACCCACGATCTCACTTCGCCGTGTTTTGACGTCATTCGAATATTCTTCTTTGAAAATTCAATATTCAGCTGAGATATATAGTGTAATAAATAATGAAACTTTCCTGCGAATTCATTTCCAAGTTTACAAAATAGAAGGATACGCAGTTTTTTATTAACAGGGGGGGGAGAAGGGCGGGGGAGTGAAAGGTATGAAGTTTCCGTTTAATTCTGAAAATTACATAATATCGATTGAGGAAAGCAAATGAACTTTCTTCGTAAACAAAACATATCTATAAACAGATTTTCAAATGTAAAAAAAAAAAAAATCTAAGGACACACATACCCGGACTCTCCGCCCATTCAACATTCATCGCAGTGTGAGGCATGATATAATCATCAATGTTTTCTTTCTCTCTCTCTCTCTCTCTCTCACTCGCGTGTTTCCGATATGTATTAAGCAATACCTGTAACAGCTGTAACACATTTTGTCGTGTCACATGTAGCGTACACGATCAAGTGGTAAGAATTATCACAAATCGTGCCGGTTTCGTGAGAATACGATACATATATGATATATATATAATATATATATATATATATATATATATATATATATATACACACACACACATATATGTCGTTGTTTTATTGCAGAAATTATCAAAACGGTCAAAAAGCACACTCACTCGGAAAATTCTTCGGAAAAGAAAAAGTAATGTTTGGGCTCTCTCGAAATACAGCCCAACATAAATCCGATTATCTTCAACAAGTCCGTAAAAGTCCAGGTATACCGTTTGATGCCAATAAAAAACCGTTGGCTAGCGCGCTGAAAATGAATCTTATACCAAGTCCAATTAATCCATTTTACAAAAAATAATATATAACGAAGCGCTATAGGATTTATACTCTTTTGTGAAACTGTTTGATGAGAATGACTGATTCCAATAAACGAGAATAGCAGAATGTAAGATATTTCAAAACTTAGAATAGAACAAATTAATCGAATTTTTTTCAGTAAGATGCGAAAATGATTTTTCCTATTGCGCTATTGTTGAGAATATTTTGTGAAAATGCAGATGAAAAGGAAATTGTATGTATGAAATAAAATTATAGACATTCAAAATTATCTCTATACATTTATTTTAAATCTAATAATTGAACCGAATGGCACAGAAAATAGCATGTACATTCTAAAGACAATCATTATGCAATAAAGAGTAGGATTTGTTATTGCACAAATAATTAAAATAGGATGTACAGATTCATATTACTTGAATACACATATATAACTATTTTTAATACACATTTAGCTTAATACACCGTGTGTAATTTTACACTTTTAAACATTGTATACGACGCGCGAAATGTACTGTTACATAAAATATTCCATGTGTACATACATTAAATCTAACAATTAGATATTATTCACATTGCACATTATTACGTGATAATCTAATTAACATTTATTTATAACATTTATTGCACAAAAAATATACCAATAACTTGCTTACAAATTTTTAATTTATAAGATATATGTGAGACAGATTATTACAATTAATTTATAATTCTACTTATCCCTTTTGTTACAACCATATAAAAAACAAATTATTTAATTTTCATGGTTTTACATCAATATACGATTCCAGGTACATTATAATTATATAATGAAAGTATTTCTCTAATATGGTTTACTACACATATACACATATTGTTTACAAGTCTTCTATTATATTTACCATATAAATGAAACTTACAAAACTACTTTTTAGTTGTTTATGTCTCTTTGGCACGTGAATTCACTTTAGTTATGCCCGAAACCATTCGGTAATCGTGCGATAGGATTAATTTACACACTCTATCGAGAAAAAAAATAAATATTTTCTAATATATTATGAATTATATCCGAATTATATAAGTATCTTTTTGACTCTTTCTGATAAATATATATATCAGATTATAAATAATATAACATGAGGTATTTCTTGATTAGACCTTTATGTTAAATACCCTTTGAAAAAAATGTTAAATTTAATATAAATACGCATTTTCATATTTATTTGAAGGTAATTAATTTAAATCGACAAATTCATAATGTTGGTTACAACATTGTAAAAAAATAAGTCAAAGACATCGCGATGAAGTATAAAAAATTATATATTAAAAATATCAATTATAACTCGATTTTTTCAAACTAAAATTCTTACATAGTTTGATCTATTCTTAAAAGTAAAAGAGATATTTAAATAGTAAAGATAAATGGACCATCTTGCACATGTACGTGTACATATGTATCTTAACATTTCATTGATTTATATCAACTTTGATTAGAAATTCATTGTTGTAAAAATTAGTATTTTTCCAAAATGTTGTTTTCTCAGTAAGAAAATCTATGGAAAATTTATATATATAAAATAAATGTATTTTCACACATCTATATATAGATGTGTAAAAATACATTTTTACTTAAAAAAAAAAACATCATGTATATGTATGTTTGTGATTAGAAATGCTATCTTGAAAAAAGAGAAGTATGTAACATATATTAGACATAAGAATTGAATGAGATATTAATTTCAATAGTGATTTAAATATCAATCTAATTTCTGCAAATAAAAATCAACATAATACATTAATGTTTTTCAATTTTAATTTATTAAAACAGCAGACGTTTATTCTATGAGAGAGTTATATATTCTTACTTTTTACGTTACTATATTTTAAAAATGTTGTAATCGAGATATCATAAATATTGAGATATTATAAATGTAAAACAATTAAAAAGTATAATTATATTGCAAGTTAATGACGAGCATTAAATACATCGAATCTCTAATCGAATCTTTATTTCTCGAAATGTTTCAAATGTTATTTAACGAATATCATTGAAAGGTTTCTGAAAGTCTTGAATATTTCAAAAGTCTCGAATGTATTAAAAACCTGAAAAATGAGTGTCTGAAAATATATTTTTTCTTTTTAATATTTTTATTTCAATCCACTCTGTTGTAAAAAAAAAAGCAATTTAACAATCGGTAACATTAATGATAATTTTTTCTGCAAATTTTAAATATTTCTAAAGATATTTTAGATTTTCAAAATTTTTAAGGATTTCAAGATATTGTAAGAGTTTTTAAGATTTTTGCAAATTTTTGTGGACTTTTACTGAATTTTAAATAATTTATAATAATAATAAATTTATATAGAAACAATGTCTTATATGATGAAACAATTTGAAACTTTTTTAAAAAAAGAAACCCATTATTAGATATAAATACACTAAATTGCGATATTGCAATAAAATTCTTGAAGTTATATTCGCCCTTCTTGTAATATTACGTTTTTATATACAGGATTATCACAGAGACAAAGAGCTACACCCTCTAATACCCTCTAATGACGAAACAAAAATATATTCTCAATTAACTATGTTCAATTTAAAAGAAATAATTTCTCCAGCGCCAATACCACTCTATTTCCATCTGATTGAAGCATATATTGAGGATCGACAATCCAATGAAAAACACTGCGTGAAACAGGGCCCAGAGTTGAAAGATCGGAGAAACAATGAGCAAAAGCACTGTCATCCCTAAGAATAAAATTTATTTCCCATTAGCATTTCTCCTATGGGGAAGAATTTTTTTTTTTACAGTTTACCTGTTAATACACTCCAGAATCCAAAGGCGACTTGCAACGGCAGCGTTTTCGCCATCGGCCAGATCTGAGCGGAGAATGCCTTCTGTTCATAGAATTCTTTAAGTATCGCCTCCTTGTCGTACCATCGGTCTTCCAACCACCTTCTCAGGGTCGAGTCATCGTGCGCCGGTATATCCGCGGATGATATTCGTTTTATGTGGAAGTGCACCTCGTTTGGGAATCTACCCATGATCAGATCGACCTCGGACTGCGGTATGTAGTCCGGATACGCTATGGTCAGGTCGTACACGGCGTCGAGGTAACTCGCTCGCTGGAGATGCTGAACCAAGTAAGCGAAGCCCGTCGTTTTCGGATGTAGGGTGTAGGTGTATCGCGGCAAGTGATGCTGCAAGGCATATTTATCCGACTTCTCCTTGCTGCTCTCCGTCAGATCGGTGCCTTCCGGAAATATCAGCAGCTGCGTGCGGCTATCTAATGCGATCAAATAATCGAGCGTATGCGACAATCGGCCTCGATCCTCTTCCCAGCGTCGCGTTATATAAAGGAAACCATTCATTTGCATTATCCATCCTGTTATAGACACACATGTTGCTAAATGAAGTAAGAGCATGTATGTGTGTGTGTGTGTGTGTGTGTGTGTGTGTGTGTGTAGACGCGCACACACACACACACACACACACACATCATTGTAAATATTAGTACTTTATATATAAATGATTTGTCTCAAAACTATACTACTAATGAGACAATGAAATTTATTTTCAAATTGTTTATTTAATATATATTTACAATTTAATATTATCTTCTTCAAAGTATATGCCTTCCCAAGGAACATACTTTAAAGGAAGTAATGTTAAAATGTAAACATAAATGTGTGTTCAATAGAAAACTGAAAACAAATTGTTCTTATTATTTGAGAGACAAATCCGAATAGATCCGAAGGTGGCACGTTACCTGGGCCAGGAATGTGTCGTATAGGGTCCTTTAAAATAAATTTTAATTTATGACAACCGACATTAGGCATACACGCTTGATACATCGCTGCCCACAGAAAGTTCCAATCCACCCTTGTTCTGTGATTCATCACAAGCACGGCCGATTCATGAGGAGATATATGATCGCCAGATACATAGATTTTTACACCAAACGCGTTCAAGAGAGCCTAAAATATTTAAAATCGCATGATAAAATTTAAGATTTCACCATTAAGGGCAAGGTGTCGGCAACAAACGTTATTTTAATTAGTAAAAAAATTGTCTCTTTTTTTATATTCTTCTCGATTGTTTGGAAATTGTCTTTTTGTTTTGAAAGCCTTTGAAAGAACAAAAATAAAAGTAAACAAACAATTTTAGAAAATCTTTTTGTGGAAATATTTAAACATTAAAAATAAATTTGTTATCTTTATCTTTACCCGAAAAAATAAAAGATAGAAATAATAAAATATTATAAAAAGTATATATTTTTATAAAATGTTTGTAAGACTTTTAAGAGTCACGATAATTTTCTGATTTTAAATAAGGTTCATGAAATTTACATCATTTACATTTACGTTTAAAATAAGTCGAGATGAGCTTCGGATTTACTACTAATTAAAATGTAAATGCGCGTATATAATCTCTAAAATTATTAATTAAGATTTGCAATACTTACGGTAGGATAAAGTTCCCAGCACGAGAATAGAAGATCTCCACATTTTCGAAATCTTGGTGGGCTAAGCAATAACAATGGCAAAAGCGGACAGGCGATAAATAAAAAACCTGCTACGATACTACCATACCACAGAGCACAGTACAATGTACCACGTAAAAATCCGCGCATTACAGTCTGAGATTAGATATCCTGGAAATAATACGGAGTATATACTAGTATGTAAAAATATTTTTGACGGTACATCGTAATTTCTCAAGTCACAACTTATATTTATGTTCGATTTACATTCACGTTTCTTGTTTGGAAAATTATCAATGAAAATTCATTAATGAGATCTCTCATAAGAGGTCTAAAACGATATTTTATATTCTATGTATGCAAAAAGATGAAGAGATTCGAGTTAATTTTACAGTCGCCCATACAAAAAAAAAATTAAAAAATTATAAACAAAAACAATGATTCTGTGAAACTCACTTTCACATGTGCACTTGAATGCAATCGAAGCACTTTTCACGAACATTGGATCTTGACTGCTTCCTTATGAAACAGTGTATCTTTACTGGCTTCCTCCTGGGATTCTCTGTTAGAGGGGTTTTCTCTCTGCTACCCCTCACTCTCTATCCAGTCTCTACTACTGAGCTGAAGATGCTGTGTTGGACCATTATTGATTTGTTGAGCATAGGGGCTGTATGATCTGAATGAAGAGAGATTGGAAACGTCTGTTAATTTATAATTAACTTAATTTTATGTAATT